ATGGTGCTGTCTTTGATGATGATGATGATGATGATGATGATGATGATGATGATGATGATGATGATGATGATGATGATGATGATATCGGGATTGATGAGGTGTGTTCGTCTACTAGAGTGGTGCTGCAGATTTTTGACCATAGCTTGGTCAGAGAAATTGTTTCAGGGCTAAGTATTCTCAATCACTGTTGTGATTAAAGGACAGCAGCTTGACAAATGCCATTTTTACCCAATCGCGGCGCCACATCCTGATCGCCAATATGCAATGTATGTAGTGTCTGATTGTGTATTACCAGTGCTGTTCATAAGATACCTGTTGACCACTCCTTGATTCTCTCTAAATGTTTCTTACATCTCGCCACCCACGAGCAGCTCGCCGCGTAGGAATGGGCCGAACAACCGATGTACCCCTGTGGGCACTAGGACAAAAGACAATCAAACAACCGGTGTACATTGGTGATGTGGCTCGAGGCATTGTGAACAGTTTGACTGCTCCGGATTCACCTGGGCGCATCTACGAGGCTGTCGGGCCTCATCGATATCGGCTAGATGATCTGGTCAAATGGATCTACTTCATTTGTCGTTACTTTCCCAACGAGTTGAATATCGTCCGGATAAATCCGATTTTCCTGTAAGTTGTGCACGAATAACCCCAGCTTCACTGTGTACGATTTTTAGAATATCTGTGGATTACTATCCAGAACTCAGACAGCGGCAATCGAGCAGCCGTGATGAGGAACTTCTCTGTCAACAGCGCTCTGCCTAGCCACTTAAGATTTTGCGCGTCTTTTAGGTTTACTTAACAGCCATAGTGGAGCTTTATTTGAACACCTTATCCATCGAATTTTTAAAAATTCTTTTGTGTTTTCCTACTCTGCTGTCCCACATGTTCTACGTTTACGGCCCCCCATTAACATCATGGCTGTCGACAGCAATGTAATAGTATCAGCAGCTTTTACTAATTCCTTCCCGTTGTATATGGTTGAATGCGTGCCAAGGTTTGTGGTGGGACTCATTTTGCAGTGGAATGTTTGATAACCTCAAACCTATTCTCCGTTTCGTAAGCAGTGGCACTTGGAAAAGGAGTGCTAGTACTATCAGTTCTACTGGCGAGCAAGTCACCACACATGTTCCAACTCTCAGTATGCAAGACCAGGTGGTTGTGTTCTTTAGATTCCGATTCTACGTCCTGACCGCAGTTGTTAGGTGGACGTCACTCAACTGTCGTTTATGGAGGCCCACAAACTGTCGCAACGTGACAACGTCGTTCGGCTTGATATAATTTGTACCCAAAGTGCCATGATCAGGCTCGAAAAGTTCCGCCCAGCGGCTCATTTTGATCGGCTACGTCATTTAGTTTGTTTCACTGCTGAATACTATCAGTAGTACGTTGGTTTCAGGACCCTCGAAAACTGACACTTTATATTTGTCCTGCTGGTTTTTGAGTCATGGAACTCTTTTCATTACGACCACCATAGTATCGCTTGTATGGTGGATACCAATGACTGAATCGCCTAAGGAAACGATGTTTCATAGAGTCAGCTGTCCAAGTGTTAGGCAGGAATCCACACGAATCTCGCTATACCACACGTCTTTAGGCGCTGCTACGGCCGATAAGCCTGACCCGCTCAAGGTTGGCCCAGAATTCGGGACGCTTGCCGGTCCGGCATCAAGACGAGATCTGATTGGTCAAGAATCTGGACCCAATAGCCAATCATGACCCAGTATTGGCCAAATGCCGGTCGGCAATGGCGCATCCAGAATGCGTCAGAAATTCCAGAAAGTTATAACCGCTTACGCTGTATATAAGAAGCGCTGTACAGCTGTTCTTGACTTCGTTTTGGGCGTTAATAGACCTTGTGCACCTTTGGTGGTTGTTTTGACGTGAATGCTAGCTTGGGAGGCTCAGACCGAGAACTAAGCTGAGGAAAATACCGTTACTACACCAAGTGACGGATCCGGATAGTCACGACAGTGATTAGAAAGAAATCAAACATACTAACCACAGCTGTTACATTCCAATGGTATATACTCACAGATTTGTATCGGACCTAGCCGCCCAACAAGTTTAACTATCAGTTGCTTTCTGGTCACTGAGATTCGATAACTAATCTAGCGATCTTACGACTTTTGACATTTTTCGGTCTCTGTAGTTGGATCTGCGTTCTATTCGGATTCCAAGTATTCCAAGTATTCTGGAAATAGATGATGTATAGCGCTCACTGATCACCCACCGTAGTCAGTAGTAGTGTTCGAGGAGTTATTTCCAGCCAAGCGTTACCTTTCATTTCAGGGATCACGACACAAAGTTCATCGTCTCTCGTACCGCCGAAAGGAGGTTTATGGCTGCAGTATCAGAGCGTCCACGATTACCGGATGTGACGAACTTTGCTTGTTGATTTAACGTGAATTCTCCAATACACCTCAATCATCTGGCGCACTTGTTCATGGACGCAGTAGAATGTGGGTTGTTTGCATGAGGCAGGGAAACAAATTAGATGACATGAAGTTAAATTGTCCCCCTTCCGGAAGGAGTTGCCTCAGGAGGCACTCCATCAGAAGTGACCATTTTTTGCCGGCCGTCGAACCATCCGTCGGATATTAGGACCAACCCTCAGCTTGGAATTATTGATTCATTTTCGTTCCACTGATACTTGCTGATTAGAGAAAAGTAATAGGAATCTAACGTTATCAAGGTTTTTGTCATGTGTGTTTGTCTCCAGTCCGTGGTTTCTCTATCACCGTTATGCTTAGAATGTGCGTCAAAATGTGGTAGATGCAACTGGGACTGATTGGCTGCACTCCTCGTTCACTTAATCGACAATGGCTTGCATTTTCGAAGTGACAACGATTTCGAATGCTGCATAAACGACCGACGGTGGTTGCGTCGTTCCCTCAAGCGAGCGTACACTCGAACAGATGCAGGTAGTAACTATGGTAAATTTATGGTTTCATAGCTCGAAGTGGGTTCTGTTGACAGTGCTCTTCTTATCGCTGCACCGAGAATTCGATCGCTCAAAAGCCGTCGGTGTTAACGTGAATTCTCCAATACACCTCAATCATCTGGCGCACTTGTTCATGGACGCAGTAGAATGTGGGTTGTTTGCATGAGGCAGGGAAACAAATTAGATGACATGAAGTTAAATTGTCCCCCTTCCGGAAGGAGTTGCCTCAGGAGGCACTCCATCAGAAGTGACCATTTTTTGCCGGCCGTCGAACCATCCGTCGGATATTAGGACCAACCCTCAGCTTGGAATTATTGATTCATTTTCGTTCCACTGATACTTGCTGATTAGAGAAAAGTAATAGGAATCTAACGTTATCAAGGTTTTTGTCATGTGTGTTTGTCTCCAGTCCGTGGTTTCTCTATCACCGTTATGCTTAGAATGTGCGTCAAAATGTGGTAGATGCAACTGGGACTGATTGGCTGCACTCCTCGTTCACTTAATCGACAATGGCTTGCATTTTCGAAGTGACAACGATTTCGAATGCTGCATAAACGACCGACGGTGGTTGCGTCGTTCCCTCAAGCGAGCGTACACTCGAACAGATGCAGGTAGTAACTATGGTAAATTTATGGTTTCATAGCTCGAAGTGGGTTCTGTTGACAGTGCTCTTCTTATCGCTGCACCGAGAATTCGATCGCTCAAAACGCCGTCGGTGTTGTAAGATTTTTTTTATTAATCTTCGGAATGCCGGATTACCGAAGCAAACGAAACATATGTTTACAATGTATGCTGGCTTCGTGGTAAGTGTGCTACGAGCTCGGCCCCAAACCTTCTCCCTGCAGTTTGTGGCTTATGGAGATAATAGTTATACTTGTGAACAGCATGCTTTGCACTCACGACCAGAATTATTCTCGGAAATCCTTTTTTGGTATTTCAGTCAAGTAAATGTTGATCTTCCGTGCACTCGAGTTCGACATAGCTCAGTGACTAAGGCGCCAACTTCCTGGTCCGGATTTCAACCCCAACCGCAGCCCCGCATCTGCTACTGTCTACACTTAGGCAACCTGGCGGTATCTCAATCCTCGTGCTTCGTTCGGGTGTGGGATGGAAGTTGTGCAGCGGTTCTCCACAACTGCGTAACCCTATATTTGACGTAAAATCAGACATTCACTTAGCACTGAAATACTTTTAGGGAGGCGCGCAGTCCATGAAGACCGATGTAGCCGTTACAGATCAACACGTAGACATAATCTTCATGCACCGTAAACGTGTTCCGTAGCTACGATAAAGTATCATTCTCGTTTCATCATCTGGTGACAGTGTAGAAATGTAAACCTGTCACCGAAGAAAACCTGATATTCTCAGGCTACCCTCATTTTTCTATTATATGGGATTATATAATAGTTTCCCGCTATTTTTCTTGAATTTAGGCTACTTCTAACGGAGATTGTGAAAATCGATTTGAAATAAGCAAGTCTTTCTCGCGAATTCGAACAAGGCATGCAATCGGCTTGGGCTAAATCCAATCAAACTAGAAAGAAGCAATCGAATACCATTTTTGTCGTTTTCATTCTTATCGAAAAACCGCAGCGACAATATCAATAACTATAAGGTCAATTAACTAGACCGATAGTCCTATCCTACCTCACGGTGGAATTATTACACCACATAACCCACGGCACATTACCCACTTAGCCCACAAACCATCATCATCGTCAGCATGACATCAGTGTTCAACGCTGATGCTCCACCGCCGTACAACCATGATTTATTTGAAAGCCTTATTGTAAAAAAAAGAATAAA